TTTTCAGCTTCTCCATTCTTCAGGGGTCGCCACAGTGGACCAAGTTGCACAAAGACTTGGCAATTATTTTTATGCTGGATGCCCTTTCTGACGTTACCACAGCCCACTGTGGGGAGCAGAGCTGCGCACCATGGAGAGCAGATGTTGGGAGTTAAGGGCCTTGCTCAAGGGCCCAGAGTGGGGCAAATGAGGGTGGAGGCTGGTGTGGGTGCTTCAACTTTCCCACCCACATTTTGATGTTGTCGGTACTGGGAGTTGAACCAGCGATCTTCCAATCACAGGCCCACCTTTTCTCTCTCGCTCATTTGTTGAAACGTTTCGTCTCTTGTCCAAATGACTTCTTCATGCTGAGGAGCTGCAACAAACTCAGTCTTTTAATCAGCATCTTCTCATAGTGGATCAACCAGTTTGCTGGGTACAGCCAGAACTAGTTGTTCACATGTAATAGGACCATCAGCGTAATAGATCGTCAGATGGCCGCTTGCTATTCACAGAGGGCTGAGTGATACTAGCAACAACAGCATTGTAGGAAGGTGACAGTTGAACATGGAGGCCTCCGCCCGTTTAATGATGGACAGGTTCTCTTCACATAAATGGCTTCTTTCACTCTATCAAAACGTTCCTCTCCATCAAGGATGTGAACATCTTCATTCCTGAAATATGATTGTTAAGCTGAGTGTCCTCCTTTTGCATGTGAAGCACTAGTTTTGACCGTCAGCAAACCGGTTGATCCACTCAGAAGATGCTGCTTATAAGACTTTGCTTGCAGCTCCTCAGACTGAAGAAGTCTTTTGGATAAAAGACGAAACGTTTCAACATAGAAGAATCCGTCCAGAGGACCCGACTTAACCTTATTAGATTTATCTACCTGGATTATTGAGCAGCATCCAGACACATTAAAACTGTTTTAGCATCAAGCTACAAAACAAAATTCCTCAAGGTTCAACAGGTCTGACTACTGGTACTTTTTGAAATCACTGCAACTGACATTGAATGATATTTAATATACAAGTAATTTGATTTTGTTTTTTTAATTATCAGCACATTTAATCAGATTAAACAGAGCAACTTGACAGCGATAAGCCATCTGTTCTGACAGGAAATGTGGGTCAATGAAGCAGAACTTAAAAAACACCCTGAACCAAAAGGTACTCTACAGAGTACATGTGTAGACATTAACATTTTATAAAAACTGGAAAAAAATTACAACTGAAATATGGAAAATGCATTTAAAAGATTATTTAGAGTAAAACTAATGAAATGTAAAATGTAACAACTTACCAACCAAGCTGCAGAAAATGAAGAAAGCTACTCCCATATTTGTCTTCAAGAAAAATAAAACTGTAAAATAAATAGTTTAAACAAGTGAATAAACAGATCAGATAAACTGAAACCGTTAGTGATCCACTCTTCCCTTTTTGTAAAGACACACTGGTGTTTGTTTTGTCCGTCGCTGTCAGGATTTATGCTTGAATGAATTTGGAACGCCCCACATTTGCACTGAGTCTGAACATAATGTTTAAAAAGATCTTGATATACATGTTTTTAAATGATTTCATATACCTAAAAGTTAAGGAAATTAACACATATCATGCATTAATGTATTCTATGAGCTAATCTATTTAGGGTTTCAACTACAAAACAACAAAGCCGGTGTTTATTTCCCCACTTTTATTTAAAAAAATGAATTAAAAAACAAAAAAAACAACATTTTTTTCCTTAGGTATACATCATTTAAAAGCCTCTTGCACAACAAAAATAATACCAAATACACATTATAATTCTTGCATTTTCATATATTTATAGATAAACCAGCTTGCAGAGACCAGTAGGACCTGGAGCAGTGTTTCTGTTTAACAGGACTGTGTGACTGGACTCGAATCATGCTGATGTCATTCAGATGGAAATGAAAGAACTGAACTGTAGGATGAATTTAATTATAATCAAAATTAAAACAACCATTAACATTGAACCCATTTGGTGATCCTTCCTATTATCAATCTTACTATGTAAAGTCACAAAATCAACCATCACTTTGATTTACTTACAAGCCCTTTAAGAAGAAAACAGTCAAAAGCACCACTCTATAAATACACTTTTAAACACGTTTATAGAATAGGCTACATAAAAATTTTTATTCAAAAGAAAAACAGGGAGAAGTGTCCATAACGATCGTCTGCTAATGAACCACAAATGCGCTGCTGAAGTTTTAAAAAAATTGGATCATTTCTTTAAATGCGTCTCACACACGTGTTAAAACAGCCACAGCAAAACAGCTCGACTGTAAAAGATTTAGTAACATTATTTGCATAATTTGGGCAAAGATGAGTTACAGACATTTGTCCCGTCTCATACCAAACGTGAAATGCAAAGCACTTCATGAAACGAGCTCCTTTGAAAAGGAAAAGAAAAAAAAAAAAAAAAAAAAAAAACACTTCAACACGGCAAAAACTACCCCAATCTGAGTAAACAAATGAAATACAAATCATTTCCTGGTAAAAATGTGCAGCTGGAAAAAGTGATCATGCAATCAAAAGAGTCAGAATGTCATTGTTTTTCTTCCTTCAAACCATCAGTATGTACAGTTTTTACGAGGACAACACGAGGAAAGACGGCAGCAATGTTTCGAAACCGATTCATGATTCTGCATCTTGTGGCACTGAAGTGACCAAAGTGAATATTTACTAGGGTTTGTTGGGTTCAGAAGTTGTCGTTATGGCAACAACGATGAGAATGAATATCAGGAAATGATCATGTTACAGTGGCCATAAGAGCAACGTTGGACCGAGACAACAGCTTTCCTTCCTCTAAACCCTGAAAGTTTCCTCTGTAACATTACAGCTTCATTGTCTTCTTGCTGCTTTAGTTTTCTACAGAAGGATCAGATCCCACTGCTCAGTTTAGTACCAGTTTTAACAGTGCTTGGCCTTCGAAGAGTCCTGCATATACAAGGAGGTACAGTACAGTTTGTGGCAGCCAGGCCACCTGAAAACGACTCTTTTCAGTCACTGTTGGTTATCGTCATTGAAATGTACGAATAGACATCAGATGCCTGCTAATTCTGTTGGAATTTGGTCATAAAGGTTGAACATTTGGTTATTTACTGTACATTTAATGATGAATCAAGAACTGTATTTTATATTAAAAAAAAATTCTTCAGTGTGCTTTGTAATGTCTTTGGTCCTGTGTGCACGGCCTCAGTTAAGGTATTATCTAAGAATTATACTACAACAATTATAATTACAATCATCAGCTCAGTAAATATATTGGCAGCTCAGCTTTTGATACAAATATAGCAAACAGGAAAGCTTTTTTTTTTGTCTCTAATAACATATGCATACAACTTGTAACCCCCAACTGAAGTGTATTTTTTTGGAGTAAACTACCTGGCAAAAATACTGTGGAAAAGTATGCTTTCTGTAAATGTGTGTGTGTATTTTGGCAGTATAATTCATAATCTCATGTTTTTTTTTTTTATCATTTATCTCATCATTGTCTACCTTCATTTGCTTTAAAACCACTTCTCAACTAAATCTTTCCTCCTATCTTAATCTGTACACAATCCTGGTTTCTTCCTTCTTTTTTATTTGATATTTTTTAGCCTTGTCCAACTTATTGCACGCGGCCTTCTCTGCTTGACCCAGTTTTGTAACAATCTCAATCAGATGGGGGCAACTCACGGACCTAAAAAGACTCGGAAGAATAAATAAAAGCAGTACATACAAACAATTCTCCAACATTGACAGCATGATTGCCTATAGTGCTACGATTTATAAATGTTTTAATTAAACCTAATTACAGCTAGAACTTTCCAAACAAACATATCCTAATTTAAAATGTAACACACATACACACACTTTCCTGCATGCATCTCTTTTAATAACGAGGGCTGCTTATATAAAGCCCATTTGATCGGCAACAGGTTAAATTACTTTAGTAATAACAGTGTGGTTTAATTGGTTTTGATTAGAAAAAAGTGCATTATGTTGTATTTCAGCTTAGACTTATAACACGCATCAGCAGTAGTTTGTCAATACATCCCCTAATGCTACATTAGCCCTTGAAGGTTGAGTCATTTAATGTATATTGTTACTCTTGGCATTACTGTAAATTATATTCTAGCGTGCACGTTTCCTGTGTGCATATGTGTGTTACAGCAGAAAAAGAACTACACATTTTTTAAGGCAGCATCTTTCTCAAAGCAAAATATTGCTTCTATTTTTGGCAGCTTTCTGCAAGAACAACCCACTCAAAAGTAGGACATCTCTTTCTTTTCTTCTTTGTGCACCTTTCTTTCAAGCATGCACCCAAACAGACCAACACACAGACGTGCACGCACTTCCCATGTTCCATCACTCAACTACTTGCACTGTGCACAAAGCTATTACACTCCTCCAGAAGGCAGGATCCGTCCTGCTGGGCTGCAAGCAGCGATGATAGGAAGAAATAATGCAGCAAGGATTCAGGTAAGATGCATGAGGGTTTGGGAATTTCCTGGAAAAGCCTCTAGAAGGTCAGTCCGCCCAAACAAGAGCCACAAAACACCTAAAGGGAAGAAAAGGCGGGAAACGCGAACGTGAGAAAACATACAGGATTAGAACAGATGAGCGTCATCAGCGTAAACATTATAGTACATTTTTTTTATATAAACAGAACATATTTATATTTTCTAATCAAATAATATATTTTAAAATGTTTAAAAGGTAGAAAGGGCAACATTTAATTTTCTGACCATGAGAAGTGATTAATTAAAATTGACCCGGTCTTCAAAACCCACCTTAGATAATAACCAAAGCATTTAGCAACATTGTTGTTTTAACGGCAGGTTTTATTTTGAATTAGTTCAATATTTTGAAAATTCTGCATCAACTATTTAGTATTTTGTGAAACTTCTTAAATTACAAAAACATCTTTGGCACCATTTAGTTAATTAGCTTTAGTTTAGCTTTAGTTAAAGATATCTGATATTATTTCTACTTTTTTTCTACACGTTTGCTATAAATTTTGTAGCATTTGATTACAGATGCAGCTACAAACTTATCGGTGCATTTGTGCAATTTAGTGTTTTTTATCTTCCCCCCTCTTTCAGCTGCTCTCTTCAGCTGCTCCCTTTGGCTGCGATCACCACAGCA